TTAGCTGTGGTTTTCCCTTTTCTGTACTATTGCAAAATACTTGTGTGTGTGTGTAAACTTGTACATGCACATGTATATATTTTTATATATTAGTGTATATGTGTATATATATGCACTTCTACCTATTCCATTTATTGAGATCATATATCACAACTCATTTACAAAGTTTTTTTCTTCCGATTAGCACTGCTGAAATGTGTTCAGATCTATGTTGTGAAAAGACTATTTTAAAAATATTTTCCTATGAAAACAATCTAAACTACAAACAAATGGTTTTCAGTTTTTCTATGTTTTGGACTTTTTGTTTTGGGGGGTGGGAAAAATCTGTTTCAGTGGAACGAATGGATCCTCATTTGTTAAATGGATTTCTGTATCAAAAAAAGGGCTTAAAAAGTAAGTTGTTTTGTGTTCAATTTTGAAATGAGTTTGTCTGTGACTTAGAAAGTTTAAGGGTATGATGTGTCTATGCAAATACATTGTCTTGAACTGTTATTTGTTTTTATACCAGTCTGCGTGCAGACACGTTTCTAAGCATTTAGAATGGATGATTTAACAAAAGTCAGCAATTCTTCTGAAAAGCATTTCCTTCCCTGCCACAGGATGGGTTTTGTCAAGCTATTTTTGTTCATCTTTGCATTTCGTTTCCCAGGTGGTAAAATATAAATCTGTGGATTGATAACTAAAACCCTGTGATGAAGAGGATGTTAATCCAGCCTTCCTATAACAATGTCTTATTGCTTTAATTCCTTTAATTAAATCATGGCTTTAATGTATAATTGAATATTTTACCTTCTCATCTCCTGTGAGATAATTATGGAAAGTAACTCTTTCCTGCTATGTTAAGACCAGGAAGTATCCTGTCCCTGTGACTGTGGGTGCAGCCACAGCCTTTCAGGCAACAGCATCACAAATTTTAGGATTCAAACTTATGGTAAGAGAAGTTTTTTCAGAGGTAGCCATTCAGATGGATGTAATGCACCTGTGTGCTCCCTCACAAAACATGGACACATTTCTGATCAGAACATAGACTTGCTACTTTTTTTCCTGCAGATGTGCCCCCCTTTCTTAAGATCTCCAAATACTGTGTGAAAACGGGGAGTTATCGAAGCGTTCCAAACTTTCCTTTTTTCCCAGCAAGTCAAACAGCTTCATGAAGTTTTTCAGTTTAGTTTGACTCATGCATGTACAAAATGTGATAAAGCAGCACTCTGCAGGTGACATTTGTCCCTTGCTCATGGTCTGATGGGAGCAATCCCACATTTGGTGTTCAGTGGATCCATGCAGTGCTGCAGGTTGGCATTCTCATGGAAAGCAGGTGCACTGGAGGTGGTGAGTGAACGTGGCTGGGCCAAGGACAGTGCAGGGCCTTTCCCTGGGGTGTGTGTGTGACACACACGGGGTCAGCACCCAGCTCTGCCTCTGTGTTTGTGCCGGAGCTGTTACGCTGTGCTGGGGGTTGTGAAAGGAACGCACGTGAAAGTGTGGAGATCACAGTGCAGGGAGCTTTGTATTGCTTGATGTGCCGTGTGATTTAAGACATAAAATGGTGATTTCCTGGAACGTGGGAGATTCAGAGGTCAGCTGCACTGTGCTATGGCAACTGAGACAGGACTTGTAACTCCTCTGGGAAAAAGCTCCTCACAAAGAGCAGGGATTAATTTAATGAGCACCTTATGCTCCCTGCACAATATCTACTGCAATCTTTGCTTCTAATCCACTTATTATGGGCAAAGAAATTTATCTGGTAGCTCAACTATTGGATTTTTTTTTTTTTTTTTTTTTGCCATGCTATTCTCCCTCCCCCTTATACATTGGTAATAGCTCTTGAAACTCTCAGAAAATTTAAAACATTGATCTTGCCTACAGTGGTAAATAGTTAACGATTTCTGTATGAAATGACATGTCTTGCATAGTCACTGAGACAAACTTACAGAGAACATAAGGAGTATAAGTAAGCTTCCAGAGAACAAGAATTGTGCAGTATGTGTGTTGTTTAGTAGATTAATTTTGTGTGTGCGTGTATTACTTTGCAATAAGTCGAAGATCTGAAATACAGTAAGGAGTGATCTTTTGATTAGCACAATGAAGTAAAAGCTGGAGCGAGAGATCTACTCTGTGCAGGCTGTCCCACACTCAATATGGAATTGCTTTCCTTACACTTTCCCTGTCTTTTCATGGCTTTTGGTCTGTACATCACAGGTGACATTGATCTGTTCCTTGTGACTCTTTGGATATTTAGTTGTATAACCACAGAGGCGGTCTCTCAATAAGATACGAGCATGTTAATTACTCCTAATTACATTTTGTGCACAATAGCCTTGCCTTGGATGCTTGTCCCGGTGGACACTGCTTTGTCCATGACACCTCTGTGGTTTGGAGCCATTTGAATGGAGCAATTAGAAGCCCACACAGAGCTGTTGTGTAACTTGCCCTCTCCAGTACAAGGGTTGTCCTGCCTCATTCAAGTTCACTTTAATCCTGTAGCCTTGCCCAGTGGGCTTCTACTTTATATTATGTAATTTATAGTCTCAATCTGCTCTCATTAGAGTCGGCCTGTGTTGGAAATGCCACCTTCTGTGTTAATCTGTAGCCATGTGACTGCAATAAGTCTTTTAATCAGTTATTTAACAAAGGAGCTACCTATTTGTTGTGTGTGTGGTCATTTGTTACACTCCATTAGCAATGAAATCAAGTCTATTCCATTGTGGAAAGCATTTGTTAAAGTTTCAAACTGCAGAGGATCTATTTTAGACAGAGAATTTTTTTTTTTTTTTCTAATTTGACTTGCCTGTAGAGTTCTGGGAGCACATATTCTCATCAAGCACCTAACTTACCTTTCTCTCTTTTTTTTAATTACTATATTGATTTTGGAATTATCTTTTCCCCCCTAATATTTTGCAGACTGAGGCTTAGGTTAGAACCATTTTTATACTTCTGTCACTTGAGATATCAGACTAAAAGCAACACCAACCCAAGCTGTGAGTGCAGTTGCATCCTGTCCATCTGTACACAGCATTAGCAGTTGGTACAGACTCAGGTACACCAGATCCATGCACCATTTTAATTTATCCTTCTCCTGTAGGAATCTGTATTTCAAATCTAAACACCCTTCAATTTTATTTAACTCGTGACCCCTTTGTGGGAGGGCTGGTACATTTTAGTTCAATAATTTCTTTTTTGTGAAATAAAAACTCAGACTTCAGTAGAACCTATATATATATATATATTTTATTTTGAGTAAAACTAAAGGATGCATGCATTTGTGTCCACAGAAGTCTAATTAGGCTTGAACAATAGCCTGCAACATGTTCACTGGGATCTTAGGAAGCGCTACCCTTTGGGCAAAGCACTGACCTGACAGATTTCATCCTTCTTTTGTGTTTTTCACAATGAATTCACACTGGCTAACCTTGGAATAGTAATTCAGATTAGTTTATCCTGTGGGGGGGAAAACCCCAACCTTATAAAAGACTGATACAGGATAAGCAAATATACTCAGGGTTATTTCAGATATTTCTGTTGGTTGCTCAGTGTGGTCTGGGCCAGAAATTTCTGTGGTTTAGTCAGTCCTTTAACTTGTTGCTAAAAATCTGAACTGTAATAGTAGAAGGGATTTGATTGTGCTTAGTCTGAGGGTGTAGAATTACTTTTCATTAAACACTTCTCACTGGGTATTGTGGTGACAGAACTCAGGGTCCAGTTTCTGGATAATAAAGATATTAAAACCCAGCTGTCACTGACTTTGAAATTACTGTCAAAAAAAAGTGTGAAAAGTTACGTCCTGTGTTTAAATATGATTACACAAGTCAAAGATCTGCTGAAAACTAGTGAGTAAATATAAAAGGTTTCAACACCTACAGTTTAATTAAAAAAAAAAAAGTGAAATCAAAACATCTGGATTTTGTGATAAATGTTCCTTATCTGTGCTCATCCGAGAAACAATTCTCAGAAACCATAAGCTTGACCCAGGAGATTCAATAGTTGTTTCAGTGGCTTGATGGAATAAAACCTCCAGGCTTCACAAGAGCTGGGAGCATGGGTGCTGCAGAGGGGAGACACAGTTTTTCTCTCTCTCTGTTTTTTTAATAATTAAAAAATACCTGCAGTGTGTGCAACTTGTGCCTGGTAGCTGAGCTTTCATCATCTCATAATCTGGGAGCTCTGTATGGCATCTGTGTGGGGTTTTTATTGCTCTCTAAATTGCTCATCTTTGACTCCTGTAGACTGGAAACTGTGATGTGTGAACGCTTATCTCTGGCTGGCAGTGGAAGACAACACAGCTGGATAAATAAGAATCGTGTATTCTGGGACTTCTCTTGTTTCCTGAGTCTTCCTGAGCTGGTAGAAATCGCAGAGATCTGCTAAATGGAATTTCAAACTTATTTGAAGGGCACGAATATGAATCTTGTGGTGCAGCTGTGAAATGACACAAGGGAGGGTGTGCCTTGCAAACCCAAAACCTGAATATAGAGCAGACGTGCAATCCCTGACACGGAGAGTGACACCCAAATACATGTTAATGTAATTCCTGCAGTACAGTTCACCTTTTATCCTCACTATGGTGACTGTCTGGGAATAGGACTTGATTGCTGAACATATGTTTGGAAAAATCTTAAGCCTAGACTTTTAACACAAAATACGAGTTTCTCCTCCTGACAGTCTCATTAGTTACACAAGTTTGTATCAAGTGCCAAAGTACAATTTACAACATGGAATAATTACTTATGCTTTTAGTTTGAACTAAGTTTCCTAACTGAAGAAACTGAGCAGAAAAAGGAACAGCATTTAATTCACTAATGGGCTAATAGGTGGCGTTTCAACTTCTGCAAATAGAGTTTATACTCACATACATGATAATTATAATGATGATGAGAGAAAATAACTATATATACACACTTTTATTTATGTATATGACTTCATTATGTGTACTTGTTTCAGGATCAAGGCAACGGTAGTTTATATTATCAAAACTGAGCTTTTCTTTTCATTTTATTTTATAGAAAAAACGAAAACAGAGTACTCAAGATGAAGATACAATCAGTATCTGCAGCCTGGATACAAGTGTGAGTAATTTCATTTTCTTTTTTACCTTTCCTCCCCTACCCCTTAAACTAAAATATGATTATTAGGGGTACTCTGAAATAAACTCGTCCATCTTCTCAGCTGTATTGTTTTCATACATAGCATGAATAAGTTACTCTGCTTCTTGTGAAAAAATTGAATTTGCTATATTACTGCTCTCATTGTCTCTGATAATACTTTTAAAAGAAAAATGAAAAGTTATAGTGACAGTTTATTGTAAAGTAGCAAATCTCTTATTAGTAAATAGTTATCAGGATAAAAGGGAGTTTTGAATGCAGGACTTAAATCCAAACCTTTTCTGCATTTGCATGGGTGTATGAGAAATTTTCTCTCACTTGCCAGTGGTGGTTAATGCTGCTGTTGTGAAACTGTGTAATGGGATGATAAGATTGTAAGACCGCTGCGTGTCACTGCTGAAGTGATGTGCTCATCACATCCAGCTCTGCCACCCTGTCACACACTTCAGATGTGAAGGCCACACCAGAAAACGTGTTTTATAAAAGCCACACATTTTATAATGTGTATACTTTTCAGTACAAGTATTCGGACTTGTGAATTTTTTAGTTGTTTCTGTAAGTGAAGGTGAAATACTGACTTGTTTTATAACTTAAAAAAATTACTACAGTGACACTATAGTAATTTTTAGCTTCTTTTTAAAAGTAAATTATAAGGATCAAACTCTTTCTATGGATTATAGTGGATGTTGAATCCAAGTTTTAATGAGGGTAATTATGCAGTAAACTGCAATATGTGTTGTTTTTCCTGTTAAATTGTGGCATAAAGGTACACTGGCAGTTATCATTTCAAATCCATGGAACTAAAAAAGATGTAGGAAAATATATTTCCTTCTGTTCAGTGCTTTTATCAGTATTTTCAGTGCTCTGTTTACAGTCAGCTGTTAAACCAGTTTTCCCTCTCTGCAGCCTCTCATGTAGTACAGACAGAAAATGTAAGTTTAAAAACCAGAGAATAAACACTGCTTGTTTTAACAGTTTTATTTATTAGCAGGTGTCAAAGCTAGTGCTGTGCTTTCTTTAATGGTCAAATTTTCATTTTGGTTTGAAGTCTATGTGCTCTTTGAAGAAGCAATTACTTTGAAGGGCTCACCTGCCTGGATGGCTGCAGACAAATGCGAGCTCTTGCAGGCACTTGAAGTGAGCTGGGTAGAATCCAGCACCATTCTGCAAATCATAAACTCACAGTAGCCTGACCTGGTCTGTGAGCTAATACTTTAATGTTAGTTAATCCCATTAGACCTTACACTGAGCCCAACTTCAAAGGAATTGTGTTTCCTTTAAAGGAATTTTAAAGCAATTGTTATTCTTCAGGGAAAATTCAAAATTGTTGACTGTTTATTATTATTATTATTATTATTATTATTATTATTATTATTATTATTATTATTATTATTATTATTGACAAATTGATAGATTGTTAGATTCATTACTCTGACCTGGGATGGAAAATGCTGGGTTTCACTATTTTTATGTTTCTGTAAAGAGTGTGTATTTTATTCTTCTATAAGTAAGACAGTTATGTAAAACTCTTGTGTAGAAGTTGTTATCCTGCTGTAAAAACACTTGGATGAGTATAGTTCTGTATTGATCAATAGCTAAAGATGTAAAAACTGTTTCAAAAGTACAGCTTCTGTTAATAGAGGAGGGTGATCTAATGTGGTTGACCCCTGAATTTGGCCCACAGAAATATAGACAGGTATTCTGATGATCTTATCGGGTATGACCACGACTGTACTGGCTCTTGTGTCTTTGGAACTTACTTTGCCCTGAACTCTTCTACGTTATAATTTTTCAGTTTCCTGTTTAGTTTCCTGATAGATTCTGTCCCTCATCACTGACAGGAATTGCTGTTAAAGGCTGCTTTGCCTCTGGCTGTGACAGAAGACTTGAACTGTCACGGTGACTTAGAAAGTGAGCCTGGCATGTGACTTTAGAACAACAGCCTTAGGTTTTTTAGCTCCAGGTGATGGGTCAAGTGTGCCCATCAAAACTTGGAGCTGTTGACACTAAAACAAGTTGGGCAGGAAGAATGACCCATTTTCTCATGACTTGTGTTCCTGCCAACTAGATGATAATCCCCCTGGTAAAGGAGGACTCCCACCTTTGTGAGCCTCCTGGACACAGCAAATAAACTTTTGTTTTTCCTTTCACATCATATTTTGTTGGTGGATAATGATAAAGGCAGTGCTGAGCGTGCATCTAGATTGAATACTGAGTGTTTCATGTCATTAGAAAATACTGGGGGGTCTTTCAGCTACCCTGTGGAATGTTGTAGCACAAAAGGACCGTGGGAATCCAGCAGTCCGTGGCTGAATACTCACCTGTAGAGGCATTTTGTTCTCTGCTTGTGCTTAAATGCTATTTATACTGGGGAGAGATGTATCTCTTGTTGACATGGGTTTGACATTCTAAACAATTAGAGATTTTGTTACAGGGCAGAGATTTGGTTGTCTCTTGTTCTCATGTTTGTGAAGGCAAATGTCAGAAAGAAGGAAAATTTCGAAAAAAGAATTGGTTCGTATCTCACAGAAACCAGCTGTGGTGGTGTTGTGCAAATCTACCTTCCCCTGCTGGGTTGCTCTCCACTCTTCATATACCAAGTAACTTATGCCCAAAAACATGAGTGGGGGTGAGGCTGGTTTAAGGGAGAGGAGGATGTTGATGAGAAGTATCTACAACAATCGAAAGTTTGGAACAGTTTCCATATGGAAAACAAAAAAATAAACTGAAACCTGTGTAAACTGAAATCAAATATACTGGGGAAAAAAATTGGTGGCTGATTAGTTCTATATATCAATGTACAGTTATTAATTCTCTAGTGATTGAGGGCACAAAATAAAACTGTTTGTAGGTTCCAACCAAATAAACTAAAAGGGATGTCTCTTCACCTAGCATGCAGTGCACAATTCTGGCACAGGGTGTTCTGGACAGCAGAGATTTTGCAGAAGTTCAAAAAGCAAATTGGGCAAATTCATGGAAGAATAACCCATCAAGAGCTATTAAAGTGAGTGAAGGCATCCAGCTGGAGAAACCCTGGAACCTGCACACTTGTGAGTCTGGGAGAGGGAACCACGTGTGCATCACTCAGTGTCTGCTCTGCTTTCACACCCTGCCCTGGACAGCTCTTCTTTACTATTGTTGAGAAATTGTGCTGGCCTGACACCCATCCTAAGCCTTCCATTAGCCCAGCACACACCTCCTTTTCTTCCAAGCAATGACAGTTTTGGAATGATTTAATTAGGGCTCTAGGCTTAGTTGTAGCATGATGGAAATAACTAAGTGTTCAGGTTCCTTTGTCTAGTAACTCTCTTATGTCCAAAAGATGTCCCAAATTGTTAATATGCATATCTTCAATGAAAGCATTTATTTTCCAGAGCAGTGGCTAAGAATATAAAAATTTGAATGCATGTGTTCCCTATTACAAATTGAGATTCTAACTGGGATAATTACATATCATTAAATTTTTACAGACAATAAATCTCTCAGGCTGCGCAATAAAATTGGGTTTTATTAAATAGCATATGTATTTAACAAATAAGTGTGTTACACTTTTGTGTTCAACACACTGTCTAGTTTACATGATTAGGTGAATGATCCTGGTTGGTTCTTCCAGCTCCTTTAGCTGCTGATGGAAAAAGCGTGTGCTGCAGTCACTGCTGTGCTGCTTCCCAGGCATCACCTCAGGGCTCTGCCTCTTTTTTGCACTTAGCAATGGAAAGATCCAGCCATCCTTACTGTCTGAAGTTTCCAATTTGTGTAAATGTATCTGTTGGCCACCTTTGTCCAGGAGAGGGTGGGGGATAGCAAAGGAAGAGGATATTAACTACTTAATGACTGGATTGCTTCATACCCTGGATAGCAGCATACATATGGGTCTCCTGCTAATTTACATCATCATCTGTCTACAATCTTTTTATAAAAATGGGGTTTCATTTTTTTTCTCTGACCATTGCCAGGCACACCTGTCTTTTCCATGGCAATCAGTCATACAGACAGAATTTCCTTTCACAGGAAATGCTGGTTGGAGCTCTGCTGACTCAGGACAAGGACCAGTAGCCTAAGCATGTTAAATAATCTTTGTATTTGTTTAGTGAGCTGGACTGTTTTGATGCTTCAGGAGTTGATAAACTGGCTTATTAAACTGACTGGTTGCTCTTGGCTCATTTTACTGCCAGCTTAAAGAAGTGGATTTGCAAATCCCCTCAATGTCAAATAGTTTGTGATAACTTGTGGCAGATGTGACCAGCAGACTGTGAGGGTTGAGTGCAAGAACATACAAGGCCACTGCAGTCAGAGGTTTGTGTTGAAAGGAAAATGTGCCTATTTTCTGACATGGCATTGTTCATATTGGCCTCATGTTGAATTAATTCAGTTAAGAGACTTCAGCCCATGCAATTAAGTCAGCCAGTGTTGTGTTTCATGCTCATGCTCTTAAAATGATACGTGCTAGATTTGCATATGCATATTGGTTAACAGATATTATATCATTAACGTGGCTTACAGACACTTGAGGTTTTATAAATATCCCTTTATAGCTTGGGGAACTGGGACAGAGAAATTGAGGCAGCTTGAAATATGATGGAAGGCTAAGTACTTTTTTTGTACTTAAAACACCCTCCATGAGCTCTACTCTGTATTTCTCCTTGTCTCAGACACTGTCTCTCCTTAGTTAAATTCTGAGCAGCTTCTGGATTATTTCTGTCTGTGCTTTTGCTCCTTGTTGCTGCTGTAACTTTTGTTCTTTCCTCATTTGCAATGTGGGTCTTTGGTACCATGTGCCTCATGAGTCTGAACTCTATAAAATCATAATTAACTCCAGAGGTATTCAGAGCAAAAAGCTGGTAAAACCAAATGCAAAACTTGGACTTTTCAGAATAAAATTATACTTACTTGAGCAAAATTCTGTTCAGAAAAAAATTTATTGTAAACTCATGGAAGTTGCTATTGTTTTCTTGTTATATTGA